TATTTTGGTATATGTTTCGCTTAAATAGGGATTGGTATTTTGGCTAAGTTCTCCAGACCTCTCAGTTTTTCTTTCTTCTCCATTGCTAGCTGTTCTATCTATAGCAATAGTATAAACATTTACTTTTGCCATGATTAAATGAGAGAGGAAGGAGTTTCACTTAAAATTTTATCTGTAAAATTGAAATATGGTTTCAACTATAGATTATGGCTTCTTTTTCATTTCTAACTATAAAATATATCATATAGACGAGATATGAACATAAATGAAAGAATACACAAATATTTGCATGTTGTATTGGGATGATGTGATTATTTTTACTTATTCTATATTTTCATTATGTTTAGGATACTATGTTAAAATGGAAAATGAGTAAGCTTGCCTTCTTACTAAAAAACCCTTGTCTAACCATTGGCTTCAGGTAATTTTACCCTCTGAAGCCATCTTTACATTCAGAGTACAAGGGTTAAATATAATATTGGTAGCTTTTTCTGTACTTATTCTGGGTTCAAATTGGCCTACAGTTCTTTTAAACTATCTTGGATAATTTCCCTCCCTTAGACTATCTCTATCTGAGTCTGGCTTTTCTCTTATTAATTCTGTTTTCAAAGTCATTACCTTATTTCTTCTCAATAATTAGAATTTTTAAAAAATGTGTTAAACACGTTGGCAATAGCTTTATTTCCTATATTGTTTTGGTTAAACTTGTCTATTGCTCTAAGTCCTATCTTTAAATCTGGATTTGTTCCATTAAGCAACCAACGACACTGTTTCCTGACCACTGATAGAAAGTCATGAACTGTCCTAGATTGGGACCACTGTGTATAGCTGTGCATAGCTGTATAGGTGTCCCTGGGACAAGGGCATCTGGCTATTGGGTGAATGTAGGCTACTTGTTAACATGTGACAAGAGGAGGAGATGCCATATGGGTTGGTAACAGCCCTTTTCCTAGCATTGAGCAATAATGTAAAATACATTTGACATATGTTTTGTCCTGCTTTTAAGCACTTAAATATAGACAAGGGAGACTTGAAAATTAGAAAACCACTGGGCTCGGTGGCTCAGCCTGTAATCCCAGCACTTTGGGAGGCCGAGGTGAGTGGATTGCCTGAGCCCGTGGGTTCGAGATCCGCCTGGGCAACTTGGCAAGATCTCATCACTACAATAAATTTAAAAAATTAGCCGGGTGTGGTAGCGCGCACCTGTAGTTCCAGTTACTCGGAAGGCTGAGGCGGAAGGATCCCCGGAGTCCAGCAGGTCGAGGCTGCAGTGGTCGGGAACAGCTACTGCACTCCAGTCTGGGCGATGGAGTGAGACTCCAATTCAAAAAAAAAAGAAAATCAGAAAACCAGAAATTTAAGAAAGTAATTTTTTTCTAGTTTAATAAATAAACTGTACATTTCAAAGATATTTAAAGACAGAAGAGATGAAGATAGACGGTAATATTTAGGTACAGCTCCAACAAGTCAGTGGAATTTTTTTTTAAATTTTACATTTGTTAATACCATTGGTCTTATCTATTTTTAGTTACATAAGATTTTTAGCAGGGACAATCTTATTCACAAAGTGGATTATTAGAGACATACACTTGACTTGAGTTGTATCAGCTCATCTCTTTCGCTTCTCAAGTGCCTTCTGAACCTTACCCCACTCCCACTTCACTGCCTGGAATTAGAGAATTATCCTTCCGAGTTAAGCTATGGCCATGACAAGATGTCCTCAAGAGGTTAAACACAGCAAACATGTTCTGCCCAGGTGATTCTGATGAATGAGGCTATTCGTGCCCTAGCATAAACGGACTAAGACAAGACCTCGGGAGCAGATTCCAAGAAACCTGGGTTCTACCTAATACAGTAGTCCTCCCTTATCTGTGGTTTCACTTTCTTCAGTTTCAGTTACCTGCCATCATCTGTAGTCCGAAAATATTTAATGGAAAATTCCAGAAATAAACAATGCAAATGTTTTAAATTGTGCTGTTCTGAGTAGGGTGATGAAATCTCCGGCTGTCCTCCATCCTGCCCTGTTCTGTTCGTTACATGAATCATCCTTTGTCCAGTATATCCATGCGGTATACACTACCCACCTGTTAGTCATTGACATCTTCTGCTCCTAACATCCAACCACAGACACCGTCATGGCTCGATGATTCAGTATCACTCGAAGTAGATGAGCCCGCTTCCAACATAATAGTCAGAAGGTCAATAGCAGCTCAACACTACATCACAATACCCACGTCATTCACCTCACTTCATCTCCTCATCTAGGCATTTTACCATCTTACGTCTTCACAAGAAGGGTGAATATAGTACAATGAGGTATTTTGAGAGTGAGAAAGATTACATTCACATAATTTTTATTACAGTATATTGTTATAATTGTCCTAGTGTATTATTAACTATGACTAATCTCTTATTGTACCTAATGTGCAAACTTATCTTAGATATGTATGCACAGGAAAACACAGGGAATTCATATTAATTCATGATTGAGGCATCCATTGGAGGTCTTGGAATATATCCCTTGTGGATATGGAAGGATGACTATACTTGTATATGCTTTATAGACTGAATTTTGAGGTCCTCGGTCACCTACTTTGTTGAAATTCTAACAAAGCTAGATAAAATATTAAATAGTTCATGAAAAAGTTTTACTCTATATAAACAAAGGCAAAAGAATGGAAGAACCAGCCCAATGATGGGTTCCTTCTCTTCCCCATAAATCTATCATGTTATCAGTTCTTGAGTACAGCCTGGCTGATTGCAACTGGAGTGTAATCCTTGAAGATAAGCTCAATGGAGTGAAGGAGGCTGGGGATACAAGGATAAGGGCCCAGTGTAGAATAAGAAGAGTATATTCTTAGTACTGGCAAGAAAGAGGACATCCATTCAAAGGAAATATACAGGACAAAGGAGAGGACAGAGGTAGAAGGGAGAAAAGTTGAAGGAGTAAAGGTTAACATGGCTTCGGCCTTCTTGTCTAGCAGATAATGAGATCATCTGCTAAGGAGCAAGACAGGTTTGGATTAGAATCTCATGGAGGACTGAAAAGATTTAGAAAAGCCCAGCAACTGTTCTCTTCTTTCTAATTCTACTACCTTCAGAACTAATTCAGTAAAAGAAATTTTTGTCAACAGATAATGTACTCAGTGACCTTTCTGTCTCAGCCCTGAGAAATCAGCTGTGAACCAAACAGACAAAATCCCTTCTTTCTTAGATTCATTGGCCGAGTTGGAAAATAAAGACGGTAAGAGTTGAATTGTTGTGAGGAAGAAGAGTTCACTGGGAGTTAACTCTTTTGGGGGAGATGTCACATAGCAGCTGGATGCTATGCTAGATAGGACTGGTTAGGAAAAGAATTCACATCTCAAGTGAAGGGTCGTTACTTTCCCCTCCAGACTAGTTAATTATTTCTTAGTAGCTTTCCCTGCCCCCTATCTCTTTCCAGGCCTGTACAATACCACCAAATTAACATCATTATCTTGATATAGCTCAAAAACGGTCAATAGTACTCCAATGCCTACCTCTTAGGATTCACACATCTTAAGCTAAGATTGAAGGCCTCCACCAGCAGGGACCTGACCTTTCTTCCACCCCTGGCTCTCACAGCTCTCCATTTCAGTGACACTCACAGACTGTCCTTCATACCTGTCTTTATTACCTCTCTACTTCTCCACTTTTGTCCCTGCTGTTCCCTTCATCCTGACTGTTCTTCCTCCACACTACTCTTATTATCTCATTTCTGCATAAAGATTCAACTTTCATTTCCACCAGGAAGTGTTCTCTGATCTCCAGTAGTAGAAGCAACCTCCCTCTCTTCTGTACATCTGCAAACATTTGTTCACACTTCTCTTAGAATATTTTTTACAATATTTCTTGCACCGTGGTTATTTTATACTCTCCTCATCTTCTTATTATGTTATCAACTTAAAGTCAGAATTTGTGCCTTATCCACCCTTATACTCCATAATACTTTATACTTCAATACAAAATATATTTAGCTAAAGGAAAAGCTCTGTTTATATTTGTTGAAGTTAATGCTTAATAAAAAGTTATATTAGAAGGGATGCTTGGAAATTTCCCGTGACCCTGCACAAACTGATTCTTATGGATATATATTTTTTTGTATTCCTGAGGCATAAATGTTCTGAATACTTCATCTCTCCATCCATCCATCCATTTATTCTTCAGTATAAACATATTGAATACCTACCATATGCAAGGCAAATGCAGGGTAGGGATGGGGCTGCCCCTGGCTCTATGCGGTGTACCCATTCACTGATCAACATCTATGTCATTTTGCTTCCCTTTTTCCAGACAAAGGGAAGCAAAGAGTCACTGCATATCACCACTGTTAGCCAAGAGCAATGTGTAGCTGGAATGACCTTCATTTAAGTTGTGACCTATGAGGTCAGAATAAGCTTTGTAATGCACAGAACTGAATTGGATGTAGTTTTAACATCAACAGAGGATATTGGCTTTTTAGAGATTCATCTTCATGTCTGTTCTGAAATTTTGCTTTAAGAAGATATCAGTTACATTTCCCCTTTCTCTCTCTCTCTCTTTCTCGTCTGCAATTACTTTCCTGGCAGTCACTCAATTAAAGATCTTCAAGTCACTTTTTTTACATGGAAATAACTTTGATGAAAATTGAAAATCAATGTTTTCCTTCTAACGACGTTAACACAATAGGGGAAAGCCTCCAATTTTGTAGTTACAATCAATGTAGAGAGGGGAAATGGCCACAAATACGTTGCACTTTTTTTTTTAATGTGGGGTACAATTCAGGGTCAGGTATACAAGATATTGCACACTTTAAGTAGATTGGCTTTGGTTGTGTCTATTTTTAAACAATCAGGCAATTTTGAAAAGTTGCCACGTATAAAATACTTTTTACAAAAATGTTGTAACAGGAGCGGATCCGATCCTGATGCTAAAGCGTTAGATGTCTAACCCCCCATCCTGCCAGAGTCTTTATCCTCATTCTGGGGTTGGAAGACGCACATGCCTGTCTCTTGCGTCCCAAGGACCCATTATCCATTTCACCGCAAAAGTCTTTGGGGACCCAACCTATCTGCCTCCTTCAGCAGGAGCCTCCGGATCCCTCCAGACTGCTTTGCAATAAATACTGCTGGGTGCAGTGAATCATTTCTTTCATAGCCTGGCGCTTGGCAGGCGGGCTTGCCTTCCCTTGCCTCCGCCTGCCCCACCTCCCAGCCTTTTCTCCCACGGCCCATCTGCCCCTCCTTTCCTCCACCCCTCCTCCTTTCTGCTCCCCTTTATTTCCACTCCCCAGCCGCGTTGCTCTGCTCTCCCTCTCCCCCCCGACCGTCTGGATTTGGAGCTCCCGGAAGCTGCCGGAGACTCTCCCCTGGAGCAGCGTGACTGACACCGACTCCTATTCGGGGGGGAGGAGAGAGAGGGGAGGAGAAGGGGAGGGCGCGGGAGGAGGGTGCGAGTGGCCGACCGCGGATTTGCCTTGCCGAGGACGGGACCCCAGGGCGACGAGGCAGGTAATCCTGCAGCGGTCGGGGCCCGGAGGCGGGGGCGGGTCGCGGGGAAGGGAGCGCGCGTGCAGGTGCGGGGGCGCCTCGCGGCGGGCGCGGGCAAGTCGCGCCCCGTGGGTGGGGTGGAGCGCGGCTGCGGCGGCCCGCGGGGAATAAAGGCGGCGCGGGCGCGGCGGCCTGCGGGGGCCGGGACGCGGGACCCGGGCGTGGGTGG